GTGGTGTTTACAATGTGCTTTTGTTTAGTGAGGCATTTATCATGTTTGTGTAGTATAAAGTGTGGTGTTTACAATGTGCTTTTGTTTAGTGAGGCATTTATCATGTTTGTGTAAGTATAAAATGTGATGTTTACAATGTGCTTGTGTTTAGTGTGGTATTTACCATGTTTCTTTATAGAAGTGTGGCGTTTACAATGCGCCTTAGTTTAGTGTGGAGTTTATCATGTTTTGTTGTGGAAGTGTGGCGTTTACAATGAAAAATTATTGCTGTCCAGTATTATTGGGCAATAGCAATAACCCCAGGGCGAACGGTCTGGGGTACTTTGTATAGTGTGGCGTTTACATTTTCTTTTGCGAAAGTGTAAACTATGGCATTTACAATAGTCGTTTGTACTAAGCGAACCTTGCAATTACCAAAATATAAATAAGAATGTAGTTAAGCATACAGAATCTAAATAGAAAAAAACGGTATTGATGTTATTTGGGGCAATATTTTTAAGATTATTTTAACAGAAGCATGTAATATATATGCATATAACATATTTAATATATGCATTGATTTCAATGGAAAAGCCAAGACCTAAAATCTATGACGATAAATTTTGACCTTTGTGCGACTTGCACTAATTACCGCCTTGACTCCTTCAAATCACCTAACAAAATACCTAATTAAAGCTTGGTAACGTCTCATTTTGTACTCGTTGATTTGCGCAACAGTCAAAGTCGTCATTTTTGTTTATATGAGACCCATATCTCGCGCGTGCGTGGCGCGACAACTACCGCCCTTTAACGTCAATTCCATCTTTACATAACCAATCATTGCGTAACCATTTTACGTTTTGGTTTGTCTCAACCTACTTTTTCCGTGTGCATCATGTTATATACATGTTACAGACACAGGCCTAGCACTTAGAATAGTGAGTTCCATTAGTCAATGTTATTTACCCAATTTGTGCATGGATTGTTTATGTGCGTTTTACAGATATAATATATATGTTATCACATTTGTGATATAAACACAGGGTAAGCACAGAGATTATATCAATTGTTCTGTTTGTAAATATGAGTATGTAAATATGTATCTACCAGGTGTCCTTCCCTGGTCAAATTGTTGTTGTGGACATCCGTAGCGGTAAAGTCAATTTGTTGAATACTATGAGATGTCGGTACTTTCAAGTTCAACTTGCCCAATCAAGTTATAACCACGGAATTATTAGAATACCCATTGTCCAAGTCTACATGAACTGCATCGGTTTAATAATCGTTGATTGGCCGGTTTTATTCAACTGAAATTGACATTAATAAATATTAAAAAAAGTGGAACCGCCAACATTGAATGCGTACACAAAAAGAAACGGTTCATCTTGATGTAATATTTTCTCTGCATCTAAAAAAGTCGAGAACAATTGTAATTTTCTGTATAGGGTTGGCGGGAAATCGTGGAAACCTTTTTTTTAACCCAAAATCATACTTGCTGCGCACCGTCACATCCACGTTGTCTCTTCATCAGAAATTAACATGCCAACGATGGAATTACATGTCGGAACATTGATACAGTCGCACATATGTATTTAGCCAATGAAACTTGTCTGCATAGAATTATAAAACAGATTCTATGATGTCATAATTTACCCATAATCCTTTGCTTGAAAATCAAGATGGCTGACTACATAATACTGATGAAAAGTTGAATATTCAGAGAATGAAAAGTTATATAAAAAAAACTGTAAACTGATTCTCCTACATTGTGGAGCTTTTTCTTTAGAGGTCATTATGTTGTTTGGATTGATGTCTCCTTTAACTCGAAAAAAATGTCATCTTTATCTTTGATACCCTAATATTTTTTCATTGCTATGATCTTGGTTACACTGTCTGAACCGAAAAAATATTACAATAACATATGTTATTATGTACATTTCATAACATATGTTAATGAAATAATATTTCAGATCTAGATATATATTCTTATTTACAGTCAGACATTTTGAGAACGACTATAGTTTGAGTGCAATTTCTACTAATCGGACATTCAAATGGGAACATGATTAGTTTATTGAGATTTTGGGTCTCTGGTAGAAGTGTCATTGATTTCTTAATTGTTGCTATGCTATTCCAATATTCCGATTTGAAATACTGAAGTTTGAAAATATGCAATAGCGACCTCTGCAGCTCAGACCGAGCAGTTTTATTGACCACTTGGTGGCGCTAGTTTACCGGCATTCACTGCAAATTCAACATGGCTGCTTCCTTGTGAAGTTGTGTTCAGCATTTGTCATTGCTTTCTTTATACTTCGGAGTTGTTTTCGATTATCATGAGTTCCACGATAGATGCATTGCGATCTTCAAGTAAAGGAAAGTTGAAATATGATCCCCACTGGCACGAACAAGGAAGAGCGAAGGTATGTTCAGCTTGATCGCCGAAAACAACTCTTACGAATTGAAATTGAACTGTTGTCATTGAATTTCAAAACAATCACGACTAAGAAACCACAGTTTTTTTGCATATAGTAAATACACAATATGTCCTCTCAAATCTCGATATTCACACAGTTTTCCACACGATTTCGTCACAATCTAAGCGATCGAAGGGTGCATAGCCATAGCTGATTATGTTATTTCCCCACCACTGACCTGGTACATTGAATGAGAGTCGATTTCAACTTTTTACTTATATACAGCATGGAGATAAAAAGAGACCTCCATGTATACAGTACTTGGACTTAAGGTGTTAAAGATGTGTTTCCAAGTTCGCATGACGCCATTTGGAAAATAGAATTTGTGTTATACATATGAACGAGAGAAAGCTCAAATATTTTTTTTTGAATATGTCGTTATCGTACACCTCTATAGCGGTGGATATTGACAATACTAAACTTAATTTTGTGCGATTGAATTTATGTCATAGTTATTGGAAAGGAGTTATTTTTTTTCAAGTACATGTACAATGCAGTCGAAAGGCAAGCACTGGACATGTCAGGTTCGGTCCCAAGTTTAGAAGGTCAAAATTGTAATATATCAGTATTTTAGATCGGCTTGCATAAATAAATAATTAAAACCGCCTTTCATCCAATCACTATTGTGCATTTACAGGCATGATATACTGGTATAGTTTTGACATTTTATAATTTGTCTTCATTGAACATCAAGTACAAATAAAATTGTTAAAAAAAAGGCTTCACCAAAACGACTTGGATACAACATAACAATAAAACTCGGGTTTGCTAACAATATTACAATGTATTATAATTAACGCTGTGCAACATTATATCATAATTGTGAGTGAGAAGCAAGATATGAAAAAGGTGTATGAAAAAAGTCCATGGCTATTACAGATATTAACCCCCCAAAAAATTGTTATTTTCAGTTAATATCTGATAATACACGGTTCAGTACGTGTTCATCAGTTCTCATTCATTACAGATACGTATGTCATTACTACACCACAGAGTGCAGATCCTTCAAGTAGGAATAATGCCATAATGCAATCACTGTTACGTTGCCATAGTTTCTGTTACTCAATCACCATTCTATCCTATCCAGTACAGGTAGAATTTCAATTTGGGCTCACCTGAAATGCAATACGTGTACGTTTGACTCATACATGTAATATAGGAATTATGGTATTGTAACAGTGTGGTTATTTCTCACCTTATGATTCTCAGAGTCGTATTGTGTTTGTATTCACTAGATTTTTGTAATCTAGGTTTTAAAGCACTGTCATCATTATGACAATGTACAATACATATTTTGATGATATCCATTATTGAAATAACATGCCAATTTACATAAATTGTCAGTGTCATTGCAGATATAAATACCAATCTGTTGGTAGAGGCTCTGTTCACTTTATAGTCTGGTCACTGATGTACTTTTTCCCATAATCACATCTGTGGGAATTTTCAAAACAATTAAAGAATGCCGTACTAAAATCCAACCTATAACTTGAGTTGTGATTGGTTGCTGATCTTGAGTTGTGATTGGTTTTGGAATCCAACAAGAATAAAATACAAACATTGTTGAAAATATTGTACAACACAGACCCTAATTAAAAGTGAATTAAGCCACTATATCCAAATTATGGTACTTATTTATGTACATTTGTATTGTGTCCAGTGTATGTCCTCAGACCTAAGAATATTGTAAACTGCTTAAAAATAGTGAAATTTAAAAATTTTCTTGATTACCGATTAGCAGTAAAATTTAGTTCTGAAATTCTCATTTATAACAATATGGTTCTAACCTGGTAAGCAGTTTGTCTTTTATGGCTTAGACCCCTTTTCACAGTAGTCTGGATTTTCTGCAAGGATTTGACCTCTGTTTGTGGATGAATGTGATAAATATAGCATGTTTCACATAAATACAAATGGCTAATAAATAAAATTTGAGCAGTATGTCCTGACTATCTTAGAGAGAGGGTCAACTTGTAACCCGCAGAACATGGTGGAACCATACATTTTGTATGTGGTGGAACCATATGTTCTGGCTACATGAAGTATTTACCGGGGTCTAAGGAACATTACTGTGTTTATGACAATTTTATTTTCTAATTTATAATCAAAGTTAATTTCAGAGTTAATTACATTTGTATTTATTTTTTAAGCTTAGATTTCAATAAAATAATTAAAACTTGTTTCTTTCAGCCTTGGCTTTGGAGGAAACTCCACTTTTTACAGTCTATTTTGTGCAACAATAAAATGACATTTTTAATTAATTTAGTTGTTGTTTTGCACACAGCAAGTTCTTGATGAATGCGCTTCACCACCTACATTATCACTGAGGTCACGGAGAGATGTACTGGACTGCTCTGATGATTCTATGTCCGAAGCAGCCAGCGTGATCAGTCAACAAAGCAGCGATGTAAGTGGCCCACATGTCAAGGTCACAAGCATTGAACCAGTCATAGACAGGTAGATTACATTTTAACTTACTTTTATTGTTTTTATGTATGTGTTTTTTTAATAGTCACCTGGTGTACAAGTGTTACTGTAAAATCTGTATTAGAAGCCGAGGTTTCTATTAACATAGTACAATGCAACAGAGGGGATCCGGCTTCTATTATGGCATCTACACATATGAGAAATGGTGAATTTTTGGTTTTCACTGTTCAGAAAGAATGGGTGTGACTTCTATTAGGAATGCGGCTTCTAATGGGGATTTTACGGTAATAATATTTTTATTTATTATATGGGGCAGTGCTCAGGACTATTCTTGGAACAGTACTCAGGACTGTAAGTGGGGGGGGGTGCTTAGGACTGTACACGGCGAAGTAGGCAATACTTCTTGATGACATGCTCAGGGAATTTCTCATATTTTGTATTACCGGTACTAGCAGTGACAGTATGAGTTGCTCCTCAATAGAAGACTCCCTTGTTCATTCACCCACTATCCTGAATGGCTGTATTGAGGTCTCTATTATGCAGTGTGAGAAGTATTGGGAGAAAAAAGCTGAGGTAAGATGCTGCACTTATTCACAGTGGGTTTCATTTTCATCCCCCAAAAAAAATCACAAAATGACACCTTGTTCTGAATATGTCTGGGAATGTTTCTTTAAAACTTGATATTGACATCACTCATGGTAGGTTACATGTACTGTTACACGTATTGTTTTGTTTCACACTTTATTTCAAAATTTATCACAAAGGCAGACTTAACTCAGTACATTGTACTACTGATATATGAAAGGAAAAATATTAGCAAATTCGCTAAAAATGCAGCACAACATCACTTTTATATAGAAGGTGGTTTTGACTTACTGTTATTAGCTTTTAGTCAACCTATCTATACCTCCATCTAGGAGTTATAGTCCACATCAGACTGCTTTTCCAGTCGTTGTACCTGTAAGTTATTGCATGTAGTACTAAAACATTAGTATCACTTGTTCTCCCGAGCTTTGCTTTTTCTGTTCAATTGCAATATATATATATGTACAGATAATTAACATAAATCACCATTGACTTTTTTCAAGCATGACTTGTCAGTGGCCAAGCATGGGAAAACCGCTGCATTTAAAACGCCTGGGAAGCGACTGTACTTTTATTTTGTTAACAACTAAGCATGTTGACTTTAATTAGCTGTTATAAGAATTGACGACATTCAGTTTGCAGCTAAACTAGTAAGAGAGAAGCAAGAACTCTACTGGAAGACTCTAAAAGTACAAGCTGAACAGCAGCTAGCTGCGCTTGAGAGGAAAGCCGAGCTTGACGAAAGGAAAGCGGCGGAGCGGCTTCAGATGCTTGAAATGAGGACTCGAGAAGAGAGCAGAAAGAGACAGCTGAAAAGGAAAGAAGACGTAAAACACCATGCAGTGGTAGGTTGGGGATACAGGGATGGTCAGAAATGTTACAGTATTGATGGAGATGTTTCTGGTACTGATAAGTATGTTTGTGATTCCAGATAATTTGGTTGGGTAAGAGAAGATTGAAGTCTGGATATGATAAATTTATAATTGTTGTCACTCACTATACTCTTTTAAAAATGCTTGTGACAACAGTGGTGTAATACTGTAATGTTTTCTTCTGCTTTCAGATGGTGGAAACTAAAATGAAGGCAGTTGAAGCTAAAAGAGGCCAAGAGCTTGAAGAAGAGAAAAAAAAGTTAGTTTATTTGTTTTGACAGATTGTTTCCACAGCCTGAACATTTAAGTGCACCCTTTTTTATACTTGCATATGAGTATAGGAATGGAATAAGGAATACCTGTATTTTGCCAAGGGCACTAAAGCAAACTAGTTGTGCATGGAAGCAATGTCTTGAATATATAAAGCTTGCATAATGCCAAAAGACGATCAGGTATTTCACGTTTTTATGCTCATTGTTGGCATCCACGTATTTGAAAAATTTCACAATTACATATTGAAGTATAAAGTCAAAATCTTAAAAAATGCCAAAGCGTCTGCCACGTTTCCAACTCTCTACTTTTACGTACTTTGCATGAATAAACACAGCTGGTCTGTAGCACACTGACCAAACACAATTTCATCGTCTACAGAACTGAAGAAGCCAAGAAGATTCTAAGCCATGTGTCCAATCTTCATCACCTTGTCAATCTGTACACTGACAGGGCAACACAACTGCTGGCAAACTGTAAACACAAAGAATTTATAACAGAGAATGTCAAAAATCTGACAGATCACATCCGAGTGTTGAAAGAGGTGTCAGGTAATGCGCTACTTATTGGAGATGTGAGAGTATGCTTTCCTAATTGTATTCCAAATATGATTCAAATTATGTCCATATTGATCATTATTATTCAGTTCAGTTTTCACTCATTATTTTATGCATTAAATTTGGAAAGGTGGAATATATTACGGTACTAAGGAAATAACACTATATACATCATATAAGCTGCAGCAAGGGACAAATAAATTTCATTTTTGTCTGGTTTATGATTGTGTATACAAAATGTTTCACCCTACCGCACTGTTTTCCCCATAAATGATCAAATTTACCTCAAAAAACTGAAATTTCCTCTTGTCTTTGTCAAATTAATATAAAATATGATATCTCTCTGGTTTTCAGTACAATTCAGGCGCAGACTGAACGTTTGTTGCAAAAATCAAATGATTTGATTTTGTCTGAATGCTAATCTTTGAGAAGGGAATATTGCATATTATTATTGAGATACCCTTGACCATCTTTAAATTCATATAGCACGTTATTTGGCATAGAAATACCCTAAAATAATTTTAGCAAGTGTTGAATCTCACACATTATTTTGACATCACTACGATGTTATGATTTTGTTTGTCCAGTTTTTAGTTTGATTTTGTGCATAACACACGACCTTGCAAAGAGCGACCTAGACCGGCGTTCAACAGCACCTCGCGCTTAGTTAATAGAAATACGGGGTACAGTGGTGTGCATTCAAGTAACATAGAACGTTCTGTGGTGTAGCTCTGCCGACGAGAATAAGTCCAAATGTTATACTTTAAGCTGTTGTCACTGACTTGTTTATACATTGTATGTATTCTCTTTACTCAGACCATGTACTGTCTGATGCACAGTCCAAAGAGATGGCAATCGCAGAGCTGGAAACAATGGGTAAAGTCTATACCAAAGCTAAGCAGGTAGTTGAACAGACAAACAAAATTGTAGGTAAGTGGTTTTTGTAATAGCTGGGTGTGCTGAATAATGCAGTGGGTGGAAAGGGGAGCATAGTTGCAGGGGGGATGCAACTATCAAGTGCTGCTCCTCTACTCCATATTTTACCTTGTCCACATTGTTTTCACAGTCGCAGCAAAATGCATACTGAAGTATTTGCTTCCACATTCAAGGTATAGAAAACCCTACTGTAGCTACAAAAACGTATTTCAAATTATTCCATTTCATCCTTGTTGATTCACGAATACTCCATTATGTGGCTTGCCAACTGCTCAACCAATATTTCTGATCTAATGACATCAAAACTCCAATAGTTGCCTCTGGCTTCCAGACTGCTTACTGAATTTAACTGCTGATCCATTTATTAAGCACTTTATGGGTCAGACCAAACAAAGTAAATCAAGATGAACTCCAGCAACAAATAATTAATCAATATATGGTAGCCCAGATTTAAGTTTTACAATAACGATTATTCTCACCATCATTTCCTACATTAAGCAATCGTCTCCCAAAGAAATTTTATTCAGCACTCAAGAAGAATATCTTCAAATTAAAACTTTGATGTCAAATCAGGATCATATAAAACATCAAAGAGACTATAGAGCTTTCCCCATTGACTTTCTTTTTTATTCTGCCATTTTTGAGCTGCACTTATCACTTCACGTTTTCACCCATATGATCATAATTGATTTCCAGGAGATGCTGAAAAAAGAGGAAATGAAGAGATGGAGAGAAAAAAAGCTGCTGAAGAGGCTGAAAAGCTAGCACAGTCAACACCTGCACCTCCACCACCACCACCACCACCACCACTACCACCACCAACAACCACATCTGTACCTCCTACTTCAAAAACAGATAGTACTACAGCTGCAACTGCTGTTAGCACTCCAGGTATATGCTCTTTTATCAGATATCCTATGTTGACAATTATTGAAAAGGCGCACGTTGTCATTGGTCGATTACCAAGCAGTACTTTAAACCTGAACAGATGAACAAAATTGTGTCCAAATAAAACTATATTCAATATTTTCTCTTATTTGCAAATCGTTTATACAGTAACTTATCTTGACTAAATTGAATTAAAATTATATTTGTGAGTGATTGTAGTGTTAGTGTTTTATTTAGTAACATGATTTTAGAAATTTCGAACAGAAAAAGTGTGAGGATTGAAAAAAAACACCAAAACACTTAGTTCGCCACTGAATTAAATGAACCTGAAAACAATTTCTTTTGCAAAGCCTAATACTGGCTTCCAAATATGTAATACTGCAAAATTATCTACCAGGTGACAGGGCTGGTAAGAATTACCTATCGTGCCAAAAGTTTCAAGTTCGTTTCCCCCAGTGATCCCACATTAAAGTCAAGTACATTGTAATAGGTACTATAGTTCATAAGTAAATTATTTTCATTGTCAGCTGATAAAATGACAGCTGATCCTATTCCTAATCAGTTTTGTACATGACATGATAAGGTCTGTTGAATAATTCTAATTGAGATATTGGATCATAGAATGACATGCAGTTGCTTTATTCTCATTTTGTTTTGATGTGCCAGTAAGAGTTACTTAGGGCCCTCTCACCCCTCGGCTCCAGTGCTCTCACCCAATTTTAATTGTGTACCGGTATGTCCCTCTTTAGAACATATATAGTGATTTGGATGTGCATATACAATTACATTTGGGGACTGGAGGGTTATGGTTCAGTAAGGGGAGCGCTTAGCAAGTTATTTTCAGATTTTCCATCTCATTGTGACCATGTCCTAAGTTT